AGTTATGTAATAAATTACTTTTATAGAGTAGAAAAATACTTCAATTACGAATACAAATGATTGGTTTCATTCCCGGATTCAATTTGCAGACTCGTAATTGATTAAAAAAGTTAATATCGTTCAAACAATTTTTATATCTGCTATTTTAGAACATAGTGTCTTCGTAAATGCTTTTTAGAACACTTTTGATACAATCTCGATTTTAAGACAATCACATATATTTATTATACTGTTTAAAATATTGTTTCCAAACCGCGAACTTCCATAACACACCTTTATGTCAATCTCATATTCCCTACACACTAAAAGTATGAAATATTTTCTAAAATAGAAGTATACGATTGCGATTAAGCTTGTCAAGAAAACAATCCAATTTAAATAATGATTTATTCATATTATTTCTAAATTGATTCACAATTGTAGCGCCACCTTAACATATCAGAAAAGAATATAGTAATCCGAATAATGTTTCTTGCATATTTTGTTTAAAAATTTAAGGTAGTAATCCCAAACTAGAAATTCAAATTATTTCAAAAAATTTTCTTTTTTTTAACTTACTTTAGTTATTGGAATTGACAACAACAAAAAATCGTGAACACCTCCAGGACGGTGTTGTTAGTTGTGACAGACATAAACATAGGTAAAAAACAATAACTAGAAACGCCAAAACGGTTTATAAAGACGTTATTGTCAGAAATATGTAACACAAAAAAAACATTTAAACCAAGCTTATGAATATAATATAACTAGCAAACCCGACGAACTCCGTTCGCCACAATTTTTTGTTCGTTTGATATTTGAAAAGGAAAATGTGATTTTATTATAAAACAGTATGAATTTCTTTCGATTACAAAAATTAAGTGCTTTTTAGTTAAACTTCTCAAATAAATAAAAGTGAATCCGCAAATTATCCGTTTTATTGAAGTGCTCTTTGCTAAACCACATTTTTTTTTTTTGGTCTGACGTTAACACAAACAAACGATTGATTTCCAACTCGTGAACAGCAACGTATCACTGCCCATGTAAAAACAATGATT